TTAGAATATGCATAAAGAATTACTTTAAAGATATTACTACAGTAAAAAAATTTTAATTTATACACTTTTTCAAAATCTCGGCTCAAAAAGTAGCTTGATACCTTAAGAAAGTTTTGTTCTAAGAGACTTTAAATATGCTGATAATCGAAACTTAATTGATATTTTTAAAGTGTCCGATATACGTATGTAGAACTAAGTAATAAAAATTGTATAATTTATTTAGATGGAACTTTTGGTAACGTTATCTATTTTTGAGAATAATGTTGTGTCTTAAAATCATTTCTTTTCTCATTTTGAATTTCCTCCTCAAACCGATTTTTTTAACGAATGGTATAACTGTAAGTTTGGGATGACATTCGTAGAAGACATAAACATGCATTTTTTAATTTACTTATTTAAAATATTTGTTGTACTTAACATGTATTATTGTTTTACTATTATCAAATACTTAAAAGTTTCATCCATTGACTTTAGCCATTTTCTCGATCTTTCAAAATATTTGAATGTAATTACTACAAATTCCAAAATCTAAATCTTAATTCAAGAATGAAAAAAAGATGAAGCTCAAATAAAATTTATCATTTGGAAGAATTTCTTAACTTGAATCTTTTCTGTGAAACAAAATTCGCGGTAAGATCATTATTGAGAAAAGAAGAATTGGTTTCATTTCGAGTCTCCTACGCATGCTGTTGCGCAACAGTTGCCACGTAGCACAATTTGTTGATCTATTTTTACCTGTTGAGATTTTCCATGATATGCGATATGTCAAAATACCTAAATCGATTTTTTATGAGTATTAGTGTGGAGATTGCGCCAGTTTTAATCTAGTTCAATACTATACATATAAATCAAAACTTCTTTTTTTAGTAGTAATTGACTCAATTGTCAATGAATTGAATATTAAGAAAAAAAGAATACGCGAAGTCAAAAAGGAAATATTAAAAATCTTTTTAGAAAGTTTCTCCACGTTAATGTTTACCCAAAAAGAAGAAATATTTTTTTACTCGAGATTGTTTTTTGAAAATTTCAAAATTAAATTTATTTTTAATATATTTTATTGACAAAAGAAAAAAAAATTAAATTATTCATGTAAGAACGTTGTACTTTCTTTTCGTAAAAAAAAAAGAAAGAAACTGCGTATGGAAATATTTGCAAAATTAATCTCAAATTATCTTTAAAATTTACGTTCTACACATTAAATATTCGATTAAACAGTGAAAAATATTTAATTTTTTTAAAAAAATCGTCCACAAAATGTACATACCATACTTAGATTATTAAAAGATACGAGTAAAACTTTAGTCTTGTCTCTCATTTAAGTTAATATTTTAGAACTTGCTTTAGCGTAATAATATATTGTGCATCCAATTTTCTTTGGTAAACTTAATGTATTTCTAAGTGATTTCTTTTTTTAATGTAGAGATTTCATTAATTATCTTTGAGGAGCACTTGTATGAAATCGAAAGTAACTTTTCCTGCGTAACAAGTTGAATGTCTTAAAGATAAAAATTGTTTTCTCTTCTTTTATAAATAACAAAAATAAAAACAATGCAAAAATACTACAAAAGTGATCATGGAAGCGGATAAAGAGAGATTTAGCTTTAATTTTCTTACTTTTTAGTTTTCTAATAAAAAACATTAACTCGAAATCATCTAGTACGCTTGCTGGACTTAAAAAGAAACCGATCGATTCAGTCTAAAAAAATAAAGGTTTTTAATTAAGAGTGAAAAGAAGCCTTTTAAAGTATTTTGTTAACTTCGATAGAGATTTCGGGTTTTTAATCTAGAATTTTCAGTTAAGTTCTCGGGAATGAAGATTTATCATTTGTGTGATAATTTTTTTTAACTGAAATTGTTTTCTAGCATATTTACATTTAAGGCTACACCGTACCCTTTTTCAAAAAACTTTTTGAGACAGTAACAGTAGAAATAGTTAATATTTTATATCCATATTATTTTATTAAGTTGATTCTGAAAGTAAAAAGTCAGTTTGATCAGTCATTATTTTACAATTTTAAAAAATTAAGAATTTTTCAAGTTTTTTCAAGTTGTTAAGTTTTTAAAAAAATTTTAAACGTTTTAAGTGATTTATGTTTCATACATTATTACAAACAAAAGTTAGTATGAATTTGAAAATCTGTTTCCTTCTTAATTTTTAATGATCATTTTTCTAGCTAAACCTGCAAAAAAACACAATTTTTTTTAAAAATATTAACTTTATCATTTTTTAAAAAAATGAGATCTCAGACCTAAATCCATACTAACTTTCATAGATCGTACGTTTGGGAGTTTCTACAAAAAATTTCAAGATTCTATCTTGAACAGAAAAAAGGCCTTAAGATTAGAAAATACCTACCGTAAAATCCGGCGTATAACGCGCACTTTTAACACAAAAAGTAAGGTTGAAATTTATGAGTGCGCGTTATACGCCGGGTATAAAAATGGGATGAGCATAAAAACAATTAGACATTTACATATATCGAAAGACTGTTTATTAAAAAGAAATAACGTTCCTCATGAACTTGTAGGGTTGTAGTTCCAGAAGTATATCATTTTTTTTTCTAAAGCTTGGAATATTACATCGAATAAATTACTGTAAAACATAAGAGCATTTCATACATACATTTCAGGTTCGTAAAAAACGGGATACGCGTTATACGGCGAATATACCTAAAAATTAATTGCTGCTTAAAAGTATAGGTGCGCGCTATACGTCGAATTTTACGGTACATCTTCAAAATTAGAAGTCTGAGAAAAACGCATTTAAAGTTTGTAAAGGCATACAACAAAAACCTATAATGCCTGTAAAGCGCTAATTTTCTAATATGTTATTTTCCAACTTATCAAATCCTTCTATATCAAAACACTACTTCAATTAATTATGAAAAAAAAAAAAAAAATTTTAATTCGAAATATATTTTTGCACAAAATTGATAGTATTTCTTACGACGACCATTTATTCAGCCTAATCTTAACAAATATTTTCACAAAAATTTTGAAACACAAAGCATTTATGTAAAACACAATAATGATACTAACTTAAGCTAAAAATCACTAGGTTTGTACATAAAGTTTAATTTTTTTAGTTTTAAATTGGGGAAATTTAGCAAGTTTTAAAGTCGCCAAACAAGAACTCAAACACCGTAATATAGTACGAAAATATGTTTACTATAACGTACTTTGGCATATCATGGAAATATTCAATTTTATCTGCAATACTTGTAATCAGAATACTTGTATTCGGAAATCTTATTGTAGTATCAGCGAAGGGCTGGTTTTTCGATACATCACTTTCAGTAGTCTTCCATCTCTTCCAAAAATTGTTTCTTATAGCAACCTGAAAAAGTTTTGGCCGTGGCATTTTCACAACAGGAAAAAATTAATGAAAAAGCTTCTAAGTTATATAAACTGTTCTTTAAAAACAAAAATTGTCCCTGAAATCAATTTTAGTTACGTAGCTATGAGAACTCAAAACATAATCAAGCAGAAATGATTTTAGTAATGAAAATTGAAATTAATAACCACATTTCACACTGAAAGATTTATTTGATTGTGCTTAAAATATTTTTAATTAACTCAATTTAACAGTGAAAAAATACTTTTAAAATGAAGCCGAAATTAAAACCTAAGATTAGAAAACTTCAAATATTTAAAAAACTACTTCGTTATCTGATCTGAAATTTGGTGCCAAAAGCTTCCCAATGATATAAACTACACAAAAAAAAATCGGTATTTATGAAATTGTATCCTTAATAGGGATTTGTTGTTGTTCAACATTTAAAAACAACAGGATAGAGAATTTTAATAATCGATATTAATTTTAAAAATAATATTTTGAAACAAAAACGATTTTTATAAAAACTATAAAACTGTCTGTAAAAATTGTGTAGGAGCGGCGAATTTTGATTATAGAAGTTTCTTTCTAGAAAAAGGTATTTTGAACACACAAAAAAACTACTCCTTTTTGTATAAAAATTATGAAAGTACCTATAAAAATTGTAAAAGAGGGTACACCGGCTCAAATATCGATATGAACTACGAATCCAAGAAATCATTTTTCAGACCACCCTTTGCTAAAAAAATTTCAAAATTTGATTTGCGAAACTTGAATATATTTCTGCTTCCCGGCCGCAGTAGCTAGGTGGTCATACTCACAAACTTGTAGTTTGAATTTTCGAGTCGAGGTCCCACTGAAGGCCCTTCATGTTGAAAGGCTGATGCACGTTAAATCTGTCGAGGCTCAAAGTCTTCACATAAGCGTGGTGTTGAAGTTTGGAGAGAGGGAGATGTGTCAGCACAGATGTCCACCTCGTCTCTTGACCGAGGTTTAAAACGATGAGATCCATCGCGAATAGCCCTCACGTAGTTTTAGAGTGAGATAAAAATCTCAAATTGAAAATGCTTTTATGATGAACAGTACTTTAAATAGTTGCGATAAGAGTATAATTTCTCCACAAAATTTTATTTATCAGAATATGCAGGTTACATTTCCTACCTTAGGTAGAAGAAAAAATCCTTCGTGTTATGAAAGATTTATTCCATTCATTACGTAGGAGTTACTGGTTTTTAACTTGAACCTAAAAGTAGACTAATTTTTTGTTGCCCTTTAAGAATTTGGGCAATTACGAGCATCCTTTTTTGCAAGAACTTTACTCTATCCACAGAATATTCAATTTACACGTAGTTCATAAAATCCAAATCTATTTTGAAATAATATTTAAAAAAAACTTTTTAAGTCAATTCCTACTTAGGTCAACAAAGCAAAATTTTATTTGTTACTTTTTATCAAAAGTTACAATTAATATCAATACGGAAAACATACGACAGAATCGCAAGATGAAGTGACCAAATAAAACGCGATTTTCCTTGCAAAAAAGTTTCCGTTTTCCTTTCTATATATGATGTTGGACTATTTTTTGTGACTTTTATTCATTAACTAAATTTAATTATTCTAGTAAAGTAGTATAGTAAAAAAGAAATCCCATTCTCAGACATTAGGCCATCTCAGGTGGGATTCGAACCCACGACTTGTGAATTGGAAGTCCAACGCGCTATCCATTGCGCTACACCGAACGATTTCCCTTTCTATATATACTGTTGGACTATATTTTTGTGTTCGCGTTTCGATTTATTCTTTTTATAAATTTCATTACTGAATTAATATTTGAAAAAGCTGGAGTAACATCAAATGTCATCCACTACAAATTTAAAAAATGTATTTGAACTTGAATGGATGAATAGAAAGTATTTTATTAACGATTAAAAACTTAAATAAGATATATTTAAGTGAGAGAGTGGGGAACTAATAGTAGGAATTGGAAAAAATAGTAATACCAACAGAAAATTAATGTTTAGTCTTGTAATTCATTCACGTATTTTAATTAAAAATTTACGCATTACTTAGCTAATCGAATACCCATATTTTAAAATAAAAAATTATTTTATTAAATACTAAAATTAAAATCAATTTTTTATAATGAAAATGATCCATAAAAAAAATTAACATTGAAGAAGCGCCATATTTTTGCCTTGGCATATCGAAAGGAAACATGACGTCGTGAAAGGAAAGGCAAATCCACATATAAAAAAGCACTAACGAAAAAAAAATTTTTTTTTTTAATCATCTAAGATTAATTTACGAAGAGAAAAAGAGAATGACGTTAACGAATATTATTCTAATCACTGGCTGCTACGCTGTTGGTGACGGATCTCTTTAATTTTGCACGTTAAGTGACGAGAGCTACATTTGAACTAAGTGTGTGGCATTTCATTCACCAAACTTCCACATCGCTTCAACGGGAGGACTTTGAGCCCCTCTACACTGCCGTTTTAAGAGATACCAGGATTCGAAATCACAACTGTGTGGACATACTCTTTTTATGGAGCAATTGATTCACTTGAATTTGCAAAACTTCAGCAAATGGTCGATGCCTACTTAAGTGGAACATTATTTTATAGCTATTTTCAACTTCTGCTAAATCTCAATACATTAAAGTCATCATATGGTTTTTTTTTATTTCAACTATTTCGTACATGTGCTGTTGTTGTTACCTATGCCACCCCTGTCTGACGTAGTAAGATCGAGGCCCACGAAATTTATCATGGCAACGGGCTAGAGATACGCCTGTCGTTAGCCGAAGCTTTGAGCTCATGAAGGTGACAGTACGATTTTGCTCACGATAGATGGCGACACCATTCGGACCCACTGATTTAACAAGCACGTACTACGTGTGCACTCGGTGGATATTTGGTGGCATTGGGCATCGAGCCCAGGCCTTCTGGTCTGGCGTCCGATGCTCTAACCACTAGGTTACACAAGGCCCAATTTCGTACATGTAATTATATTTACATCGCTCATAGTTAGAAACTTTCCACAAGATTTTTCAAACCATCGATAATGTTGAATCCAATACAAGAACTATAAAAATACAGAAAAACGATCCATATTCTATTTCAAGAATATTTTCGTATAAATAAAAAAAAGACATTTTTTTGAAAACTTTTTCATTTACTTGAAAAAAATCTGTCAGGTCTTGAAATTGTTTTTTATTTAAAAAAAAGTCTGATTCACCGAATAAGTTTTTACATATTCATGGCAAGCCCAGGGGTTGAGTGGTAGTCTATTGCGGCTTCCACTGCGATGCTAATGTGCATCGCTCCCCAACACGCCGTGTAGGGGAGCGATGGTCAAGTGTCGTCCGCGTCACTTGACCATGGTTCAAAATTACGCAGTCCATCGCCAAAAGCCCTCGTGTAGCTGAACAGTGCGACGAAAATATTCACTCACTCGCGCTTCCACACCACAGGTCCGGGTGTCAATGCCCGGGCTGGGCAAATTCGTTCCAGCCTGTTATTCCTTCAGTGAATCGATAAATGAATACCAAGATTGATTAGCAACTAAACACTGGAGTTTCGCGTCAGACAGATCCCCTGACCGGAACATTTGCTCATGCACCTAATTGCCCAAGCTCACTTAACCGAGATGGGTTCAGTGGGCCTTTGTCCTCATGGGCTGTTGCGCCACTGAGTTTAGTTTAGCTTGTAATTAACATTTTAAAAAATTACTCTTTTTACCACTTTAGGAGAGAAATATAGTCAATTTAAATAGCTGTATTACTATTACTGTCTTAAAAAGGAATAAACTATTAAATATTTTATTCCTAGTGTATATTACCAATATCATATTGTCAATTTCAGGATTTTATTTTTCCCAAGATATTCAGTCATTAAGACACACAGTTCCTTTGCAATGGAATGCGAGCTCCCTACATTATAATTTAAGACCAAAATACCAAATTTTTCATGATTAAATATTATTACGAAATTTTGTCATCTGAAAATTTACTCCATCACTAGATCCCATCTTAAGGATAAAAAAAATTCTTAAATAACCGATAAAAAGAAAAGAAATCCTCTTTTTAAAAATCTCCTTTTCATGTTAGTTTCTTTAAGAACTTATCAATAGCAACATAACCTGCAAGAACAATTGTCAATTTGAAGGTTTCAAATAAAACTGAGATTAATTTTTTGAAAAATATAAATTTACAATTTCATTAACTAAATACTGTTGTCTTAATGAAAAATTAATCAATTTAATAACACACACGTAAATTAATCTCTTGATAAAAATTTCAAAGGTATGTCATAGTTTTGAAACCATTTAATATTTTTCGGTACTGTACAACTTTTTACGTAAAATTTCATTTGAGATCAGGAGAGGTGGGGAAAATACTTTAAATATTCTTTTTAGTAAAAAACGAAATTTGTATATTAAGTAATTAAATTTTAACCCTTAAAAATTTTTTAATGAATTATAATTAAAATCACTTTTAATCTTAAATTATTATCTCCCTTTATTTTGAAATAATTTTGATTAATTTATCAGGATAATTATGGTAACTAGTACTTAACTGTATTGTTCGATTTATATTTATATGTAATTATTAGCCAAACTGTTTGATTTTTAAATCCATTAACATTATAACTACAGACACATATGTTCTATGTAAAATAATATCAACTGAGCACTAAAAATCAAAATAATTAGTATTTTAATTCTTGATTTATATCAAGTTTAAGAATTAAAACAAGTAATTGTTTAAGTAGTTATGTGATAACTTTTTTTTTTTATGATGAGCAATAAAACTGTCTTATATTTGATTTCCTGTTAAAACGAAATTAAATCTTTTAGCATCCATTGAAGGAATCCTGTCGATTGTCTTAAATCACATTATATCAATAGAGCTTAGAAATATGCATAGAAATAATCATGTATTTAAATTTTTCAATGAATTAGCTAAGATAAAACACTCGAAGATTAATCTGGTGTATACTGAATATTTTAATGCATGTAAAGAAATTAAATCTATTAACTTCTAACAAAAGAATTAAATTTAAAAGAGTTTATAAATGGAGTATAAAAATAAAAATAACATTGTTTTAGCATTTCAGACAGAATAATTAATTATGATACAGAGACTTTACAAGATTTCTAAATATATATATATATATATATTAAATGATCATATGTATCAAAGCTTTTAATTTAAAAATAAATAAAAAGACAGTCATATTTAATAATTTTAATTTCTCATTTATTTGCAGCATATATATAAACTTCCATTTTTAATTTGATAATTGTGAAACAATTCATGTTATGATACAATGAATTTGGATTAAATATTGTAATTTGTGAGAAAAAATTGATAAAATTTAAAAAGATATGTTTTGTTTGAATTTTATATTATATATATATTATATATTTGAAAATCATTCTGTGGTAAGTGTATAACACCTTCTTTAGAGTATGTGGACCATTATGAAATTTAATAGATCAGAAGTCTGCAACAGTAGTACACACAATTTATGATGTGGGGAAAAGGTTATGAGAAAAAATATATATTATAGAGCTTTTTTGAGTGTGTTTGAATAAATTATTCATAATCATAAATTATTTTACTGCAATTAACAAAATAAAAAGCAATTGTTTATAACCTGGTATTATTTGAAATAAGTAAAACTTCCTTATATTTCTTAACTAGGAAGACATTCTATAATTATTTTCTACTAAATAAAGTGTGAGATATTTTAACTAATTTTAGAATATTTAAAACAATATAGAGTAACAAAATTGGGCAAAAAAATCAACTCACATTTTTTACAGATATTTTAATAAAATTTGTAACAATTAAACACTTTAAAACAAAAAATGAACCCACTTTATGCCAGAATTAATTTGGCATTTAAAACTTTCTGTACATGTACACACACATATAATTTTATTGTACATTTTCGAATAGCTAAATATCAAAATTACTTTCATCTTTTTAACATTTTGAAACAGAAAATAAATTAAATTTGGGGAACACTTTGTCTAAGAAAAATTAAACAAATATATTTACATACATATAAAAAACTGTCAAACAAGGAAGTTAACCCTAAACATTTTGGAACTAAATCCATGTGAAGACATTAAACACAGCACCTGAGACACAAAGAACATCTGACAAAGTTGAGACACTGGATGAGAAACAAATGCAGTTCAAAGATCATCTTATAACACAGCAGGAATAGAAGCTTATTCTCAAAAAGTATGCAACCATTTGGTGTAAATATTTAATGAACACTAATGAAATATGGCTTTATCATTTAAATGCAAATATGATGACATGATGTAAAGTATAATGTAGGTAATCCAGATAGGTTTACTTAGGAGTATGTGTGGTCCATTTAATATTATACAGTTCACTTTCTACACAAGTCCGACTTCAGGTAAATCACCTTGCTTCTTATTTATGAAGGAATCACTAACTGTCAGCTTTTTTCTTCCACATCATGCCACATTTGAATCTGTTCTTTAAATAGCTGTATAGAGAAAAAAATAAATATTACAAAAAAAAAACTAAAATTTACTTTTTATGCATCAACATGTGAGGTTGATGCATAGAAAACAAATTCAAACAATAGAAAATAAATTCAAAATAAGAATAAATATATTTAGATTTAAGATTTTATTATATTTATATGCCTAAAAAAATCCAGAAAACAAAACAAAAAAAGCTTAAGATTT